ACTCTCCGATTCACATTAACGGGTCAGTGGTGGAGAGGGTCAGCTGCTTCAAGTTCCTGGGAGTTTACATCAGGGAGGACCTCACATGGTCAGAACACACAACACAGGTGGTGAAAAAGGTCCAACAACACCTTTACTTCCTCAGTCGGCTGAGAAGGTTTGGTATGAGCCCCCGTATCCTTAAGACCTTCTACACCTGCACTGTGGAAAGTATCCTGACAGGGAGCATCACCACCTGGTATGAGAACAGTAATGCTCGTGAGCGGAAATCCCTTCAGAGGGTAGTGCGCACGGTACAGGACATCGTTGGGGTGCAGCTGCCAAACATTCAGGATCTTCACACTAACCGCTACCTGGGGAAGTCCCTCAAGATCTTAAGGGACCTGTCCCTCCAAGTCACCAGCTGTTCTCACCTCTGCCGAGTGGAAGAAGGTGCAGAAGTACAAGGACCAGAACCAGTCGGTTCCGTGACACCTTCTTCTTCGCTGTGCTATGTGATGTGAAAATAAATCTGAATTGAATTGAGTTGAGAGAATTTCTATGTCCCACACCTTGGTGAAAGGGGACAAAAATAACATAAGCAAAGCTGCCTGCATCAATCATACACAACATCACATCATCTGCAAAAATACACACTAAAAACATCTTCTAGGTTTACATTTGTTACATTTTTATCATTGCATAAATATTCTTTCAGGCGGATATGCTGAAAGTCTCTTTCAGGGCTTTATGTTTATTATAATTGTCTGCTCTGTGAAAATGCAACAATACTCGTTTAGCACAATAAGCCTGGTGCTCATGAAATCTTTGACAGTTAATTTGATTAAGAACTTGACACAAAAGAAAAGGACACAAGAGAAATGTAGGCAAAGAATAAAAATATGGTAAAGGAATGTTACAGACAATTTAATGCCACTGGCAGCATGACGGCTCAGTGGTTAGCASTGAAGGTCCTGGGTTCACTCCCTGATTTGGACAAAGAGTCATTCTGTGTGGAATTTGCATGTTTGCCTCATGTTTACATAGGTTCTACCCCACACCCTAAAAACATGTACAACAAAAATAATGAAAAATAAGATCTGCGATCTTAATGGGATTTGCCTGGTTAAACAATGGTAAAAATAAATAAAAGCAGTCTTTTTTGCAAACCAGTAAAAAGGCTATGGAAGAGCATTGAATTCACCAAATTAAAAAATTAGACACCTGATCTCAGAATTACGAGATCAGGATCTCATAATTATAAGATATTATCTCATACTTATAAGATATTATCTCATAATTACAAGCAAAGACCTCATAATTGCGAGATCTTATCTCATAATTATGAAAAAAGATCTCATAATTATGAGATCTTTACGAGATCTTATCTCATAATTACYTGAAAAAATCTCATTACTATGAGATAAGATGTCATAATTACGAGATCTTATCTCATAATTACGAGAAAAGATCTCATAATTATGAGATAAGATGTCATGATTCATAATTATGTGATAAGATCTCATAAATATGAGATAAGCTGTCATAATTACAAGACCCTGATCTCCTGTGGATTTTGAGCAGGTAACGTTCTTGGACGTATATGTGTGTAATGCCGAATGCACGAGTGCCCAGAACAAGCTGTATAATGTTAATTCACCAAAGTTTAATAAAGTTGTGACCCAGGGTTGAAACAGGAGGAAGTGTGTGCCCTGCTTTTTGTGTACATAAATACAGGACGTAATTTAAGCATTTCAGAGGCATTAGCTTCTTGTAGCCATAGCATCCCGTACTGCAGGAAGAGAGTGACTTCCAGTTTGTCAGAGTGGGCTTTTTTGCTTGAACAACTGCAAGGAAGATACCTGCGTAATGTTGACAGTCTATCATCCATACAGCATCATTCCATCTCTGTAATGTTTTGTTCAGACTGTGTTGAATCGGACTCTTATTTTGAAATATCCATTTGCTGAAACCGGAAGCACCACTACCAGCTAAATGACGGTGTTATGTTTGTGCCGAAGCTGAATTGAACAGAACACTGTAACCMATGTGCAGGTGGATTGATTAATAAACCCACATTAATAGATACAACACCATCCACATTAAGTAAACTCAATATTTCCCAATATTTCATACCTAAGAGGAAATAAAAACGTAAAATGTGATCGTGCCGTCATTGTTTAATTTTACTGTAATGTAAATCAACTGACCCTCTTTAACTTATCTCGTAATTATGACATCTTATCTCGTTATGAGATCCTGAGATCAGGATCTCGTAATTATGACATCTTATCTCGTAATTATGAGATCAGGATCTCCTAGTTATGACATCTTTTCTCGTAATTATGAGATCAGGACCTCGTAATTACGACAGCTCGTATGAGATCAGGATCTCGTAATTACGAC